CTACATCTTTGTCATGAGGGAAAGGCAAACCATCTTAGATAAAAAAAAATCAACAGACTTTTCCAATGAATGAGTGGAACAACTGAACATTCACGAACTCAAGTTGGAGACTAAGTTGTTTTATATATTTGAGGAAATCTTCTGTAGAAGATCCATGATACATCATCACCATAGGCATAGATTCAGGGAAATGTCAACCTGTAGGCCATAGGATGATACTTACTCACAGTAGCATTAGTCCAAACAATTGAAATCCAGGTAGAGGGGGGCAAGAAGAGGAACATTCAGGAAATAAATGGGAAGAAGAGGGAAAAGTGGTAGCAGTCAGTCATGTTTTAGGTTTTAAAAGTTCCATTTAACAAATAATATAAACACCACCTAAGATTTTATATGTTATATGCATGTCTTATTTCACACATGTGCATTTTAAAAAAGAAATCTGTACACTTTATGAGATAATAAAGGTTTGTAATAAACAAGAAAAGTTGATTATACATACTTTGTGTGTAAATGATAAAACTCATCATTTACAAAGATGGTATCTCCCCAAAATAATCTATAAATATACTATCACATTGAAATTTTAATGAAAAGGCACCCAAAAACTATAAAATATATCTGGGAGGTTACATATAAATATACAAGGGTACTTCTAAAACTTCATGGAGAAATAAATTATTTTATTTTGGTGTCGGTTTTGAATCCATGCATAGCTTTTTCTAACTTTTGGAAGATCCCTCATATATTTGAAATTAGCCAGGAAATTTGCAAATTATCAGAGCAATGGGATTAACTACCATTAGGTGATATTAACATAAGTGACTATAACACTGTAATACTGGACAAAGATAGAGGAATCAGAATACGAACAAAATCCAAAAATGGATTCCTGTGGATATAGAATTGGTTGTATGTTACAATTGGCATTTTAAGAGCAACAGAGAATAAATTCAGCTATATAGTATTAATATTAAGAATGAAAGGATTAAATAACCCAATCAAAGGCAGATTTTAAGGGGAGAGGAGAGTGATATCAGAAACATGTTGGAACAGGATGCTCCTGACTCACCTCCAACCCATGAATGCACCAAATGTGCATCTTTTCATTTATCAATCATCTCTGAAAATCACGTGCTAAATATGAACAAGGCAATTCAGGAAACAACCCCATGAAATGGGTAGGAAAAGTTGTCATACATGAATATGGATGCTTCTCCAAGGCACTGTGCCACGCAATTAGGAAGGAAATCCCAACGCTGAGCATCACCTCAAACACAGGAGGGTTTGAATCACACAGAACACCCTAATTCTACAGTTCCTCATGTGTTGATTCCGAGTTCATGTAGCTCTGGGAGGGATCAGGTTAGACACGCTTTGCCTCCCTCGAGCACAGATCCAAGTGGCAGCTGTAAATTATCCTGAGAGTGTTTACAGCACCTTCATTTCCCAGGGGGTAAAGTTCAGCTTCAGCTTCCTCTCTAGTACATATCTGCTGGCTTACTGTGACAACTGCAGTTTCTGTCAGTTGAACTCATCAATAGCCTCTATCAGGAAATTAATTCCACCCGAGTGGGAATTCAGCCCTTTCCAAGAGCCTTCTCCTGGACTACTTATGAATAACCCTAGGGCAGCAATTCCTCCTTGAAGTAGTCTGTCAAAGCATTGAGGGCCCTAAGTTCTGTAACTTCCATTCAAGGGGTGGCATCCTAACCCTCTAAGCTCTGGGATCAACAGAGTAAGCAAGTGTGAGCACCCTCCAACCCAGCCTCCTTAAATAACAGAAAAGGGCAATGTTAAATGTGTGTACAAGCACTTTTAGGAGCTACAATCTCAAGCAGCATTACAGTGAAAAAATTAGCACAATTTCCAAATTCTCCCCAGAGGGGTTTATAGCATATTTACAGTGCTTACTGGCTGAAATGGCTTCCATCTAACTTGCATCAAGGTGTTAGAGGCCAGGCAACAAGTTAGAGCTCAAGCAGCCTTAACAGGAACCTGGAACTTCCTAACACTTCTCTACCATCTGACTGCAGTGATAATTCTAGTTCTACTTTTCTTGGAAGGAATTTAACGACGTACAACTGCTGTTACTTTTGCAGCCCTTTCAAGGGCCTACCTCTGTAACCACCCTCTCTGAAAGAGAAGGATCTCTGCTTTCCAAGGTGTCCTTACACCACAGAAAAAAAGACATGAATACACAATGGGTTCATTTTCAGTGGCTACACACCCAGGAGCAGTGTGTCCAACCTGAAAGTAACTGCAGGCATATTACTACAAATCCGTCACCAGATAGTGTAGAGTGAGAGATATTAAATGCCTGTTTTCAGCTTCCTTGTGAGGATAGAAGGAACTGGAACACATCTAACACTCCAAGCTTGCTAGTTATATCTGACCTCTTCTATCTTAGAGTTGTGGGAGTATTGACAGAATGTAAGTACATTCTAATCACCTGGGGACCACAAAACTAGAAACAGTGGTTGAACAGATAAAAATTTGAATGCTATTTTAGAATCTCTGGATAGACTGAGGAGAGGCAACTGTCTTATTTAATGTGCACGAAACCACACAGAAAGCCAAGATAAACAAAGAGGGAATATATGCCAGGTGATAAAAACAAGACAAACCTAGTACCAACCCTAATGAAATGAATGTGTCACTTACCAAAAAGGGAATTTGAAATAATGTTCACGAAGATGCCTACAGAAATCAAGTAATACAAGAACAAACCCCTCCCTGAAATCTAACAAAATTATACAGCTATTGTAACAGACAAATTAAAAATAAAATGTTTGACAGAACAACAAAACTGCACAGCATCAGTGAACTTGCAAGACTGGTCATTAGAAAGCATTTACTTTGAAAAGCAAAAAGAAATAGGAAAGAAAAAGAGTGAAGAAACCTTACAAGACTAATGGCACACCATCAACTGAAACATATATACTATCAGCATCCCAGAAGGAGAAGAGATAGGGAAAGGAAAACACATTGAAATAATGACAGAAAATTTCCTAAGCCTAGGGAAGCTTTTACAGTAGAACATTTACAGTAGAAAGGCCTGAAGGACATCAGCTAAGATAAACCCAGAGGAATCCAAACAAATTGGAGATAAGTCATAATTATACCTTAGAGACAGAGTTTTTTTAAACCAGCAGTGGAAGAGTAAATATTTTTTAGCATGAAAATGTTCTAGCATACTTTTTTACAGCAGAAAATTTTCTGAACAGAAAGATGTGGCACAACATATTCAAAGTCCTGAAAGCAACACTAAAAAAGATCAACCAAGAAAACTATCCAGTAATCTTAACATTTGAAAAATGGAAGGTAGAGAAAGTGCTTCTCCCATAAACAAAAAATGAAGGTATTTACCACCACTAGATATGCCTGGCACAAATGCTAGAAGAAGCTCTTAAAGTTGCAAAATGGCACTCAGTAAAATGAAAATATGGAAGTATAAAGTTCATCAGTAAACATACAATGTGAAATCCAAACCACATGTATTGTAATTCTGGTGGTCAAATCAATAGAATTTTGTTTACAGATTAAAAGACACAAAATTTAAAAACAAAAACAATTCTATATATTTGTCTTTTTGGAACTGGCTTATTCTACCAAACATGATGGTTTCTAGTGATTTATAGAGTACAAAAAAATGCACCCTATATGAGCTAGATTGACCTTTTAATATTTATATATAGCATTTGTCTATACTCTTGAGTAATAATGATTTTTGTTTATTTTTGTTTTCTGTTTAATTTTTTACCTAATGGAGTGTTAAGCCTGTGATTGTGAAGTGAACTAAAAATCTAACACTGTAAAAATTAAAAAAAACAAATGAAAAAGAAATGAGAAGATGGTAGGTAGGGAATGTGAGCAGCATGGAGCACGGGGTATGAAGTATCATTATGCTCCTAAATCTGTATTGTACAATACATGAAATTTGTTTATATAAATAAAATAACTTAAAATAGAGAAAAACACAAAACAACTATATAATATGTTCTAATGGATACAAGTGAAAATGAAAATGTAACATACAATGGGAAAGAGTAAAAGTTCTAAGAGGGAAGTTTATAGTAATCACATATCTAATTTAGAGTATCAAAAATATAATAAGCTAACATTATACACATCAACAAAAAAGGAAAAGAACATTGTAAACCCAGAGTTAGCAGAAGGAAGGTAATGACAAAGAGCAAAATAGATATGGGGAAAGTGATACGTTTCTAAAAAAATTTTAAATAAAAATTATATCAGCTAATTTTATAAGGCCATCATTACATCACTACCAAATCCAGACAGACATTATAAAATAAACAATGGGAGAAAATGCCATGACATTGGTCTAGGAAGTGACTTCTTAGTCATGACACTCAAAGCACAGGCAAAATGTAGACCAATGGGATTATATGATAATAAAATGCTCCTGAATAGTGAGAGTGGAGAAACAAGCCACACACTGGATGAAAATATTTGCAAATTACACATCTAATATTAAAAATATAACAGAGGATCTCATTGGCTATTTCTCAAAATAAGATACACATGGCCAAACTCCTTAAAAAATACATTAAAAGTTCATTAATTAAAAATACATTTAAAAATTCCTTAGCATCACTAATCATGGGTGAAATACAAACTAAGGTAACAAGATTTCATCTTAACAGTTGCTATGAAAAGATCACAGAGCAAAAATTTGTGATGTGGAGAAAAACGAGTCATTTGTACTCTACTGATGGGAGTGTAAATCACTATAGTTTGAAAAACTAAAAATAGAACCAAAATAGTATACAGCAATGCTACATCTAGGTACATGAAATATCTGTACTTTCACTTCCATTACAGTACTATTCAGAATAGGTATATCATAAAAACTACTACACATCAATGAATGGATAAATGGACTAACCCAAGGGAGTTACATTCAGCCTCAAGAGAAGGAAGTCTGTCATTTGCTTCAAAAATGAATGAAAATTAAGTGATATGAGTCCAGCACAAAAAGACAAATAACACAGGATCTCTCACATCTGCAGTATGCAAATATTAAATTTGAGCAATTAGCCAAGGATGATGGTAGAACTTGGAGTTTAGGCAGAAATGGGACACACTGGTCAAAGGGAACAAAGTTTTACATAGAAAGAGTAAGTTCTTGATGACAGTAATGCATTGCACATTTTGAAGTTGATAAGGATGCAATTTCAAATGTTTTCACCACAAAAAAATAAGCCTATGAGTTAATGGACACGTTAATTAGTCTGAGTTGAGCATTTTGCAATGTATACCATTCTTTGAAATAATGCACTGTACTCTAAGGAATGGGTGTATGTAAAGTATGTAAACATATACAGTGATTTGGCAATTTCAAATAGAATTTTAAGAAATTGCAAGATGGGTTTGAAAAGATGGATTGAACAGTAACACTTAAAATTTAGAAACAGAAACATTAACTAAAAGTTAAAGGATGAAAAAATACATTCTATGTAGAAGAACTGTAAGAGGGCTTGATATATTGGTTGACCATCACAATGGACAGCATAAATTCATAAAAATATTATAAGCAGACATTCTGTAATAATAAAGGGTCAATCTGGACAACGTAACAGTTATAGACATACATAAAAAAGTTCAAAATTAAGAGGAAAATAAGGGGAAAGAAGAGAGAAGTGTACTATTCAACAGCAATATTTAGTGACAGCGTTATCACTCTGAATAATGGATGAAAAAACAAGACTAAGCATATACAAATTCTGAACATTACAGAATTACAGATACATGTGTAGCTATAAATATAACCCTATTTTATGATAGGGGATACATCACATCACCCAATAACAAAACACATTCTGTTAGACTGTGCTTGTAATAGCCCATTAAAGACCTTTTGCTAGCTCCTCCAGCAGCCTAACATAAAATCTAACAGATTAAAACCAAACTAGGTTACCTGACACCATGGATCTGAACTGAAACAGAAGGCTGAGAAGTGTACAGAGGCATGGATATGAGAAACAGATTTTCCAAACTGCCAGTGAGACAGAGAAAGAGAGAAATTAGAAAATGTTACAAGATGTTCAAAAATGAAAAACAACATTCAAAATCTCACAGGATTCAAGAAATTAGTCACAAACGTATGTATTTTTAAAAATGTATCAAATCACCTTCCCACATTAAGAATCAGAAAATCCAAAGCAAAGACACAAAGCAATGGTAATATCATGCTCCATGTCCACTAGTGATATCAATCTCACTTTGAATAACAGATGAAACAAGACTGAGGCTATATGATGTTTTAATCAGCATTGGACAATGGATCTATATCTGTAAATATAGACCTGTTTCATAATAGGGGATGTAGGTGATAATTGGTAGACAGTGACACCTCTGCTCATAACCTCTGTACCCAGCCATACTCCTCAGGAACTGTACTGGACCCAATCCTACCCTAGTCATTCCTGATCCCTCTCTGAACTCACATGCATCTGGGACAGTGACACTGTCCCCATCAACCCTGCACCAAGCCCAAAGAAGGGTTATGCCAGTCTGCACACTTGCTCTTGTCCAGATGATTATTGTCAGGTCTGCTCCACCTAGGTCAAGAACTGTAATGAACTGTAATGGGTCTAGACTAGTCCTGTGTTAAAGTGGATAATGAGACTGGTGATCACATGTACTGACAATACTGAGATCCAGGTCACACGCTAAGAACTGTGCTACCACCAACTGCATTCTAAATTCCTTTTCATCCCTGTCTAGAGATCCAAGGGCATTGCAGAAGCTCCAAATGGAAGGTGCTAGTGAGCTGAGACACAAGGACCCAGCATTTCCAGACCACAAATCACAGCAAGTAGGAAACAAGTGAATCCCTACTCACCCACACTGGTGCTCCTTACACCGGTTTATCTGTTGACAAGGCCTGGACAGTTCTCAGCATGCTGACAGAGATTGCAATATGTATAGGATAAGTAAGGACTGGGAAGTGTGCTCACCAAAATCCAAGCTCCTTGTAGAATGGGTTATTACCTCTGCCACCTCAACTATCCTCCCTGACTTCATTTCTGGAATACACAGACCTCTAATAGATGTGACCCGAAAGAAGTATGTTCAGTGGTGCCTTTCCTGCGATCTTGACTCCATCCATACCAAAATGAACACATTTTCCCACTACTATTTTATTTTCAGGACTGGGTTTCCTGGTGACTACAGGAGATTGGGGTAAACAGCTACTACGGACTCCAGGGTTTCTCCACTGGAAAGAGGCTTTGAAGTGGCAACACCAGTAGACTTGCAGCCTGGATGGGCACAGTCTTGGCTTTGATGAGTTCCTGTATGTTTTTTTGGTTAGCTCCTAATTCAATTTCTCCTGCACTGCAGGATATTTACTATGTTGTTTATATTTTCCTGATATGGTGGAAAACATCAATGAAAACTAACATTCTAATGAAATGGCAAGAGTGCATTCTGTTTATTTTTCCCATCCTGTTTTCTCATTCCCTATCTGAACCCAACAGAGAAAATGTGACATTCAACATGGTGTTGATTTATGTACTTGTTTGAAATTTTCTAACACACACACATCACATATGCTAAGGTTGATTTTGTGGGTATAAACATTTAGAATTGCTGCAGAACACTGAAAAGACTAAATTCCTGATTGGCCTAGATTAGATTATTCTGTCTAAAAATATTCTGGCCTCAAAATAAATCATGTAATTTAACATTTTCATAAAATATATAAAACCATTTGTTTCCCTTCAGACACATTCTTATTCAAATATTTCAGGTCTGCATTCTCATGCTTAGCATTTGGAAGATGACAAGGCCCAATGAGACTGTTTTTAAGGGGTGACATGTAGGACCATACTCAAGGTGGATGAATCTTGATCAGATAACCATCACTGCAGCTATGGCACACTTCAAAGTATTTTGTAGTCTGGTCACCTAGAAATCCCCAATAACACACACGTATACTGTTCTACCTCAAGTGGGAATCCAGAAAGATTTATGCTGAATGTGAATCCAATCAATTGAAAAAGGGCTCTGTGAATATGGGATGGAAGTTTACAGAGGTTTTTTTTTCTTAGTTTTTAAAACGAAACATGGATCAAAGTGGGGGCAGATGAAAGTTAAAAGTACTAAAAGGAGATAAGTTTGTCACAATGTTCATTACTGTATTTTTTGCGTAAGAATCTGCGAATAGTCCATTAAATGAAATCAAAGAGGGATCATACAGGTGAGATAAATTTTCCAGGCAAGACTCAATTGCAAACAAGCAAGCCACCCCAACAAAGCGTAAGGAAAACAAAAATAATAAACACTAGCCCAGTAATCTCTGGAAGACTCCTGAGACCTCAGGGCACAACCACATTTTGTTCATAGCATTATTTTACTATATCTTATAAACAGACTCCTGGGAACATATGCAGCTTACAGGGCCAAACAAAACAGGTCTGTGATTATTATGATCAAGAAACCACCAGAGACTGACACCCTGATCAAAAACAATTAAGTATGGCAGCACGTACAACATATGTCCAGCTCATGAGGTGATACACAGCTGGTTTACACTAGAATAATGTGTGGAAGAAATGTTGGGCAAGCAAAGCACAGCCATTGCAAATAACTTAGTAAATGAAGATAACTCAAATATGTGGGTGTTATTGCTTGAATATTAATTCCCAAAACTAATTTGCAAAAGAAGAGTTTTGCAATATGGTCCCATCCATGAGGAGGGGAGGTGGTAAAATTGCAACCTGTATGTTCAAAGGAGATTTTCAAGAACTCATAACCAGTATCAGCTGTTGGTGGGGTGAGGGAGGTGTCTTATTCCCTGTGTGAGTTCCCTTATATCTGTTGGGATATGACTTCTGGAAAAAAGCTCATTACACTCCTAAGACGGTGCCCTTTGTGATTTCAATGATGCTTCTAAAGGTCTGACTTGACAGGTCTTTCTATATTCATTATGCTTTTCCACTGTGAATGCTCTGATGCCTGCTGAAATGTGACATCTTGCAAAAGGTGTCTCCATGTTCTTTATATTCATATTTGTTCATCTCTGTGAGTTCTTCAATGTGCTGTCCTGAGGTCTGGCTTCTGGAAAAGGTTGTTCCACATTCAATGGGTTTTCTCACTTGGATGTCTGCTGAGATGTATCTTCCAGTAAAAGGCATTCCCACATTCAGTATATTCATAAGGTTTTTTCCTTGAATGAATATACTAATGCACAATGAGATGTAATTTCCAGTAAAAAGTTTATTCACGTTGTTTCCCCTGTGTGGTTTCTGTTTAATTGTCACTTATTCTTTCCTGTATTGGGATTTTTTAGGCATTCATACTATTTCTACGATCTCTCCTTTGTTTTCTGTGTGAGGACTCTGATGCAAATCAAGGACTGGCACCTGGTAGGTTTGTCCACATTCATTCCATTTATATGGATTTTCCCGTGTGTGAATTTTGTGATGCACATTGAGAGCTGACTTAGAATAGTATGTTTTCCCACATTCTTTACATTCATATGCTTTTTCACCTGTGTGAGTTCTTTGATGTGTCCTGAGGTGTGACCTCCGGTAATAGGTTTTCCCACACTCATTACATTCGTAAGGTTTTTCCCCTGTGTGAGTCCTCTGATGTATAATAAGGTCTGATTTTCTGTAAAAAGTTTTCCCACACTCATTACATTCATAAGGTTTCTCCCCTGTGTGAGTTCTCTGATGTACAGTGAGGTGTGATTTCCGGCAGAAGGTTTTTCCACAACCAGTACATTCATAGGGTTTTTGCCCTGTGTGAATTCTCTGATGTATAGTGAGGAGTGACTTCTGACAAAAGGTTTTTCCACAATCAGTACATTCATAGGGTTTTTCACCTGTATGGGTTCTCTGATGTACTGTGAGATGTGACTTTCGGTAAAAGGTTTTCCCACATCCACTACACTCATAAGGTTTTTCTCCTGTGTGAGTTCGCTGGTGTATAGTAAGGTCAGATTTCCGGCAAAAGGTTTTTCCACAGTCATTACATTCATAGGGTTTTTCACCTGTGTGAGTTATCTGATGCCTGCTCAGGTGTGATTTCCGGTAAAACGTTTTCCCACATCCACTGCATTCATAAGGTTTTTCCCCAGTGTGAGTTCTCTGATGTATAATCAGATCTGACTTCCGATAAAAAGTTTTTCCACATTCACTGCACTCATAAGGTTTTTCCCCCGTGTGAGTTCTCAGATGTATATCAAGGACTTTCTTCCGGTAAAACGTTTTTCCACATTCATTACACTCATAGGGTTTTTCCCCCGTGTGAATTCTCTGATGTACAGCAAGGACTGATTTCTGGTAGAAGTTTTTTCCACATTCATTACATACATAGGGTTTCTCCCCTGTATGAGTTTGCTGATGCATGCTGAGGCTTGACTTCCTACAAAAGGTTTTCCCACATTCATTACATTCATAGGGCTTTTCCCCTGTGTGCGTCTGTTGATGCCTAGTGAGCTGAGATTTGTGGTAGAATGACTTCCTACACTTTTTACATTCATAAGCTTTCTCATCCGTGTGAGTTCTCAGATGTTGAGTGAGGTATGATTTACAGGAGAAAGTTTTGCTACATTCTTTACATTCATATGGTTTCTCACCAGTATGAATTCTTTGATGCGTCCTGAGGTTGGACGTCTGACAAAATGTTTTTCCACATTCAGTACATTCATAAGGCTTTTCTCCTGTGTGCGTTCTCTGATGTATAATGAGATCTGGCCTCCGGTAAAAGGTTTTCCCACATTCATTACATACAAATGGTTTCTCACCTGTATGAATTATTTGATGTGTCCTGAGATTTGACTTCCGATAAAAGGTTTTTCCACATTCATAACATCCATACGGCTTTTCCCCTGTGTGAATTCTCTGGTGGATAGTAAGGCTTTGTTTACAATTGAAAGATTTCTCACACTGGGTACATGCAAAGGGTTTTTTCTCTGTATATGGCATCTGATTTATGTTGAGACCTGATTTGCTAATGAAAGCTTCATCATAACCAATGTATCCATAAAATCTCTCTCCTGCATATGTTTGCTGATGTATAGGGAAAGCTGATACTTTGTAGAAAGTATCTTTTCCTATTTGAGTTGCCTCTCCAACAATAAAACCTGACATATCACAGGCTATTCCATATTCATTATATTTATAGGGGGTTTCTCTCATGTGAACCTCCTTTGGTGCGAAGAATATTGTCTCCCTGTTGAAGGCATTTACCTGTCCACTATAATCAAAAGGCTGCTGTAAAGGTTGCATCTTGGGGAGCTGACTAAGCTGATCATAGCATGCCAGGGATTTCCCAGTTATATTATGATCAACAAGTTTCTCTTCAGCATACATTTCATTAGGTTCACTAGGGACGATCTCATTCTGATATACTTTAAATTTCTGAGGTCTGATTCCTGAATAATCTTCATTCTTTACAACCATTTTTGAAATGTGGTTTGAATTTAAATCACATGTTTTCCTTAATTCAACTCTCTCCTCGGTTGATGTGCTGTTGTTTACGACCACTACTTCCCAAAAAGTTACGCCTTGATTTTCCTGGCTGGTCCCAGTCAGGTCATCCATTTTCTGAACAACTGAAATGAGAAAAAAAAAAAAAAAAGAAACAAACAAAAACAAACATTTCCATGAACTATATCTCATGGAATACTCATGTAAAGGTAAAGAAACTTCTTCCTATTTTTGTGCCATAGGATTTCCAAATATCGATAAAAGGTACTTATAACAAGTGTAATATATGTGTGTGTGTACATACCTGTAAATATGGGCTTTCTCCTTTATGAATAGAGGGTACACTACTAGATTTTCTAATGTTAAATCATGATTTTTTTCAAGGCCCTTCTTTTTGCTTGTTTGTTTAAAAACCGCACAAAATACTTAAGCCACATAATTTGCTTACTGCCTAAGTAAAGTATGAGGCTTTTCATCAGTGATTTATATTCCCTGTACTTTTCCTCCAGAGTTTCCATGTCACTGTATGTTCTATGCTTGTATTATGCTGAGTTCTTAGATTTGAAAATAGCAAGGTGTTCATGGGTCAGTTTTGTTGAATTATAGTAGAAGGCCATTTGTGTGTCCCCTATGTTGGACCATGTCTTAGACGTATGATGGTCTAGTTTTCACTGCTCTTGCAGAAATGACTATAGGTGTCTTTAGAATTGTTTTGAAACAAATTAGAATTTGTTTTTTCCTACTCTTAAAAAACAAACTCCTTGAGAGTTGCACACATACCTTATCACTTTGTTTAACAATTTTGCAAAAGGGAGAGAATGCATACTTGAACTCCACTCTCAAGCAACTTTCAACCCAAAGCTATCATTTTACATGGCTATGGTACCCAAAATTTCATGGTTCTCCTCTTGGACCACAATTTCCATTCCCCTAATTCTAGCTACTGCTTAGTTTAATGATATCTGATGTTGTAGTCACAAGGGTCATTCCTTGATAAATCTTGTCACTTTCTTGTAATAACTTGCTTGCGCAAGACTGCTTTATAATACTGACTTTGAATGCTAGCTTTAAGCTACTAATTGGCACATTTGGTTTCCAATAGTGTTGTATACTGTTCTAGATTTTATATCACTCTATATATTATATGACAAATTTCAAAAACAGTACCTCAGAATCAGGCTAACTCAGGATAAACATCTCTCTCAAACTATCTTCCCTTTAGACATTTCCTTAAAAAAATAATAAAGCATCCCATTTTTAAATTTTTCCCAATCTGACAAAAAAAATTGCTTGTGGCCCTTACCTGATTACTATATATATATATATATTTGGTTTTACATACTCAAGATAAGATATATCTCCTTATATTGTGGTAATTTTGTCCCTACAGTTACAAAAAAGCCAGTCCCTATCAACTTCCAAATAAGCACTGCAAGAATTAATAAAATATATGAATATATGCCTGAAGGAAAAGTGGGCACAAAAAAACCCCCCAAAAAAACAAAAAACAACAGAATTTAGAAAACATACTAAACTAAGATAAAACTGTACTATAAAACAAGATAAGAATTGGATTTGCAGAAGCTGAAAACAATACTATTCAACAATGACAACAAGAAAATGAGGAACAAAGGTAGAAATGTGAGAGACTTCCTTGCAGGTTTTCTAACGTGTACCTGATAAACACACGGGAGAGATTTGGGTACAAATTGATAAAAACAGCTCACACAGGCAACTGAGCTTTCCCTGTCTGAGCCTCCCAGCCCAGCATGGCATGACTGACCTTGAAGACTCTGTTCTGGTGGTTCTTCTATTGTCCATGGGTCTGCTCCTTGCTCCAACTTGAATATTATATCAGGTTTGTTTACGCAGTATCCTGTTAATGGGAATAATGAAGAAGTTAGCCTCAAGTTATATCAGGTTCTTTTTAGATTTTACTTTTTCATTTATTTTGAGAAGAGGTACAGAGAACAGACAAACTGAGCTCCCATTCACTGGCTTACTCCTCAAGTGCCAAAGGTTAGAATGGGCTAGATTTAGAGTCAGGAGCCAAGAACTCAATTCAGATCTTCCACACGGGTAGTGGGGACCCAATACTTGAGTAATGTTCTGTAATTGGGGGTGCACATTAGCAGAAAGCTGGAATCAGGAACAGAGCTGGGACTCAAACTCAGGTACTCCAATATGGGATGTAGTCATCTAAATCAGCATCTTATCCCCTAGGCCAAACACTCACCCCTAAGTGAGATCCTTTGAAGAATAACAGCTGCTTGGCTTCAGTAGTAGTGCAAAGAAAAGGCCAATTTGAACTTTTTCATTTGAGAATGTTGATACATTCTTCATGGACTGGAATCTTATACCTAAATACCATTAAACCCATAAAGAGTTCATTTATTATTATTTTTCTTTATTTACTTTAGAGGTAGAAAGAGAGAAAGAGAGCATGAATGAGCACCTCTATTTGTTGGTTCCCTCCCCAAATTACCACAACAGCTGGGCCTGACTGAGGTCAAGGCTCAGAGCTGGGGTCTCAATGCAGGTTTCCCACATAGGTGGCAGGAACCAAATTATTTGAGCTACCTTTCTGGCTGTGGCAGAAAAGCTGGGTATCGAATCAATGTCCTCTGAAATGGGACACAGGTACCTTAAACAGAAGGTAAGTGCTAACCCCCCTAAAAGTGATAATTTGTTCAAGAAGGCATTCTGTGTGCTGCTGGGGAGCTTCACTTACCCAAAGACATCAGGCTGTTGTATGTCTCCAGCATCACATCTCTGTACAGGGTCTTCTGAACATTGTCCAAGTCTTGCCACTCCTCCCAGGTGAAGTCCACAGCCACATCCTCAAATGATACCTGCATCTGTAACAAAACATTTTTCTGTATCATAGGAGCACTTAGTTACAGAACACAATGTGAGTTCATTCTTTTGTCTGTGTGTTTGTGTATGTCTTTTATAAGACTAAGCCTTTCACTATCTTCTTTGTAATATCAAAAGCACAACAATACAGTTTCTGTCATATCTATAACTGTCCTTAAGACAAATAAAATCCTTACTGACTCTGCAAGAAGCTGCTGGTCATATCTGAAGACACAGATAGAAACATCTGTAATAACAAGCTTGATGTAGATTAGGGTAACAAAGCAGTAAAGATGTTTTTTATGTATTACCAAGTTGTATTTCATTGAATCACCCAAGATTTTCAGATCTTCTATATAAATTTATCCTCATGAATATGAAGCAACAGAGAGCAGGTTAGGAAAACATAACACACACCAAGTGAATAAAAGTATATGCAGCACTATGCCTAAGTCAGAAATATGAGACATAGTCAGTAAACATATTTAAGGAACTGGTAACTGAGTGATCTGGTAGGAGCTATAGTTGACATACTGTCAATAATTAAAATTGTACTTCCTTAACTTATATTTTAAAGATTTATTTTTGTTGAAAAATTTATAGAGAGAAGGAAACAAAAATCTTCCATCCACTGGTTCACTCCCCAAGTAGCCTCAATGACCAGAGCTGAGCTGATCCGATGCCAGGAACCAGAAGTCAGGAGTCTCCCATGAGGGTGCAGGGTCCCAAGGCCCTTGGCTATCCACAACCACCCTCCCGGGCCACAAGCAGAGAACTGGATGCAAGTGGAGCAGCTGGGACACAAATTGGCACCCACATGTGATTCTAGTGCATTCAAGGCATGGATTTTAGTTATTAGGCCATAGCACTGGCCCATTTCCTTAAAATTTAAAGTAACTTCATAAGCATTCTTATAATTATTTCCAACATCCAAAAGTGTCACTATTCATATAAGAAAGTGATTACTGACTTCCTGAAACAGTCAGTGCAAATAATGAAGGACCAGTAAAAACTAGTGAAAGTCATCTCCTGGAAGGAGAATTGGAAAGGCTCAAGGGACAGTTACCGGGGAAGAAGCCAGAATAAGAAATGGTTAGTTAGCATCAGAGCACACAGTAGTAAGAAAACAGAATAGGCAATTCAGTGCAAAACAGACAAAATGGGTAGAGATGCAGAAACCAAAATCAGTACTAATTTGTGCAGAGGATAAAAGTGGAATTTCATTCCACTCTATCTACATATGAGCAGCTATGTAGATACTGGCAGTATAAACTGAAATTGGGAAAGAGAACAAAGAGTATTATGTAAACAAGTGAGGATAATCTTAGAAGTATTCTTGGAAGTTTCTGAGAAATTTCCAAGATACATGGGGTTGTTCAATTGGCAACCGAGTGTGTGAGCCACAGCTCAGATGAGATCTAGCTGAAGACAAAGGTGTGGGAATCAGGATGGCCCATCAGAATGAACGAAGTTAAGGGAAAGGAAGAAGAAAAAGAACAAGCATAGAACCTGAGAACACACTGACATTTACTGACAGAATTGGAAATACAGAACATGAACACAGAGAAGATGATCCAGTATTTATTGGAGAACTAACAAGAAGCTTAAGATTAAAAAATCTTTTAATTAAAGTTAATAGGTACAATTTAAAAATTTTTTGTATCAAAATAAAGTTGCATTTCAGTTTTACGCTCCACAAATGTTTCTAAGCACCCTTACTCATTTATCATATTCATAGCTGCTTGGGGGTGGCAGAAACTCACTATCAACCATGCAGATATGATGAAGTATCCTTTGAAATATCACCCTATCTTAAAGTAGACCCTTAACGAATAGCTGCGTGGCCTTCTTCACATTTCATTATTATTTGAAAGGCAGGGAGAAAAACAGATATGTCCTACCCACTGATTCATTCCCTAAATGCTAGCAACAGCTGAGAACTGGTTCAGATCAAACCCAGAAGCCAAGAACTCAATCCAGATCTCACAGGTAGGTGGCAGGGACTTCAGCACCTGCGCTTCTCAGGGTATGCACCAGCAGGAAGCTGGAATCAGAAACAAAGCTGGGGCTCAAACTCAGACACTCTGATGTCCAATGTGGGTTTCCAGGCAGCGTCTTAACTGCTGCTTCAAATGCTTACTCTGTTCACAAAGCAGCACCTCAGTTAAAGAGGCAACACTGGGATGAAATGCTTCATCACTGTAATTATTTAGCATATCACTCAATCCAAATGAAAAGAAAAAAAAATAGAAACAGCTTACATTCAATTTATAAAACTAAAGGTAATTTCTGAAAATTGCTATAAATAACGTGGTTCTATAAACATGTAAAACTTGTCAGATAGACAGGCATGCAGCCTAACAGTTATGATGCCCTTGTTCTGTATAAAGTATTTGGGATCAATAGCTGTTTCTGGCTATTGATTTCAGTTTCATGATAATGAAGGCATGACTCAAATGATTAGGTTTCTGCTATCTTTGGTTGTCTACATCCCAGCACTGGCCACTTCAGGCATTTAGTGAGTAAACAGCTGATGGGCTCTCTATTTGTGTCTATATGAGTCTTTGCTCAAATTTCTTTCTTAAGCTTTCATATGTACGACAACACACATGTTAACAGATGCAAGAAAAAGGTGAAATAGCTGGTAACATATTGAACATTAAAACCCTGGTGCAGACACTGTGGTACAGTGTGCTAAGCTGCTGCTTGCAACACCCACATTCCATAACTAAGTGCTAGTTCAAGACCTGGCTACTCCTAATCCAGCTTCCTCTAATGCAGCCTAGGAGACAGCAGAAGTTGGCCCAAATTCTTGGGACCATGCCACCCATATAAGAGACCAAGAAGTAGAAAGTAATTATGGGTTCCTCACTTCAGCTTGGTCAAACCCTTACTGCTGTGGCCATTCAGAGAGTAAGCCAGCAAATGGAGAATGAACCAATCTCTTTTCAAGGAGTTGAAACAAAAGTCTTCTAAACACTGTTTGCTTTTATGTGAAAGAGTTACAGAAAGAGATATTCCATACACTGGTTCTCTATCCAAATGGCTGAACAGCCAGAGCTGAACCAGTCTGGAGCTGGAAGCCAGGAGCTTCATCCAGGTATCCCAGATGGGTCCTGAGACCCAAGCACCTACGCTATCCTCTGCTGCTTTCCCAGGCTATTCACAGGGAGCTGGATCAGAATTGGGGCAGTCAGGACATGAAATGGCACCCATATGGGATGCTGGCACCGCAAGCAGAGGATTGGCCTGAAGGTCAAAATGCCAGCGCAAATCTAAACATTCTTTACATATCAAAAGTATACAACTGACTTGTATGAGAGGAGAGGGGAAAAAGATTAAGCAATTGAAAAGGCATATCCCAGGGGCCCGGCGCGGTGGCGCAAGCGGTTAAGTCCTTGCCTTGCACGCCTGGGATCCCATATGGGTGCCGGTTCTATCCCGGCAGCCCCGCTTCCCTTCCAGCTCCATGCCTGTGGCCCGGGAAAGCAGTCCAGGACAGCCCAAGGCTTTGGGACCCTGCACCTGCGTGGGAGACCCGGAAGAGGCTCCTGGCTTCGGACCGGCATAGCATCGGCCGTTGCGCTCACTTGGGGAGTGAATCATCGGACGGAAGATTTTCCTCTCTGTCTCTCCTCTCTGTATATCCGCCTTTCCAATAAAAACATAATAAAAATAAATCTTTATAAAAAAAAAGAAAAGGCATACCATTTTCACAGCCAAGAAAGTTCTACATCATAAATATCTCCACTATATCTAGGTAAACAAGTTAGATACTATCCTACTACAAGCACATCGTTAGATACAGGCACAGTAACTTTAAAAATTCATGTGCCAATTCAATGTGTGTGTGTGGTAGGTTATACTTGTGCTCCTAACAGATGCCATACTTTGAGTAGTTTAAACAAGCAATGTTTCTGTTTCCGCAATTCTACAGGTCAGGAAGTCCAAGATTAAGGTGTCGGCCAAGTTAGTTCCTGGTGATATTGCTCTTTCTGGTTTACAGATGGCAACTGAGTCTGTGTCAGTCCTCCTCTGTGTGCTTCTGTGGTGACTGCTCTCTCTCCCCCATCTCCTCTTTTCCTTTCTTTCTAAGGTCGCCAATTCTTAAATCCTTACGATTTCTTGGAGCCATATGATCCAAGCCGTATCTCTTCAGTCATAATGGGTTTACGACTGGACTTTAGTATAAAAAGTCTGAGGGGCCTAATCCACTGAGTTAAAGGTATGGTGTCCTTATCTGTAAAAGAACAGAACATCCCCTTTAAATTTAAAGTTTATCATAGGGCCTGGCATGATGGCTCAGTAGCTAAATCCTCTCCTTGAAACTGCTAGCATCTCATACGGGGAACAACAGTTCATGTCCTGAGTGCTCCACTTTCTTTCCCTGCTTGTGGCCTGGGAAAGCAGTCGAGGACAGCCCAAAGCCTGGGAACCCTGTACCCATGTGGGAAACCCCAAAGAAGCTCCTAGCTACCAGCTTGGGATTGGCTCAGCTCTGGCTCTTGTAGTCATCTGGGAAGTGAACCAGCAGATGGAAGATCTTTATCTATGTCTTTCCTTCTCTCTGTAAATCTGCCTTTCCAGTAAAAATAAATATATCTTTAAAAAAAAGCTTTGATCTTAAAATACATAAGTGTGAAAGAAAATCAGACTTCATTTTGTGAAACAATAAGAAAAGATAACCACTCTATCTTAGTTGCTCAAAATATACCCTCATCAGATCATCCTATCCATTTCCACTGTTCTCTTTCACACAACACCATAAACCATAAAACCACTGTGGGGTTTATAACATAAACCAGTAAAATACATGACATACAGATTAAAGGAACTGGGAATAGATAAATGGTAATATTTTGCCATAAACATCCTATATATGAAGAGGTATAATACTATTGACTTACTATAAGTCAAAGAAGGACACAGTGAACCATAAAAGCAATAAAATTACAATAACAGGGCACGGTGTGGTAACCTAGTGGCTAAAGACTTTGCTTTG